AGGGTGGCCCAATAGTAAATTAGGCAAATCACTTATTTTTTTTTAAATGGAATGACCCAACTTTTTTTCCAATTTTAGGTACTCTATGGTCACTAGTGCATACCCACAAAATATTGTTTCTAACATCCTACTCCTTTCGCAGAAAAAGAAGAAATACCAAAAAATATTACATTTTCAGACGCCTATTAAAATATGCAGTGCTCTCTCGAATTTGACGTTAGAATTTAACAAACTACAAATGTATAAAGCCAATAGACCAAAGATTTTTTTAGACCAAGTTTTAATTTTTTATTTTGTACACGGTGGTCACAAATTAATTTCAATTTCCTAAAATTTCTAGGACATTTTTTCAAATTTTTCAAATAGAACACCCTCTATTACTATTCATCGATGAAATGAGAATTTTATACCCTTCGACTCTCCCATGTACTTTCCTATACCTGTCTGTCGTCGTTTAAAAGTAAATTCCAAAAAGACATTGATCTATCAAAAATCCAATTTCTACCAGTGGTTTTATTGAAAGTGAACATTCAATCAAGTAGGCTGGGTCTTAATGAAGTGTCAGATTATTTATTAATGAAGTGTCAAGTTATTTTACCTGATCGCGATAATTCTTCTATTAATAATGAATTTTACGAAAAACGAATTAATTGACATGGTCTATGTTTTGGGAGAATCCGACAGAAATTCTTTATTGGCAAAAAGAATTTATCATCAACGATATCCCGATAGACGCATCCCTGATCAAAAAAGTTTTGAAAAGTTACATGAAAGATTTACCGAAACAGGAAATGTTGCTTATAAAAAACCAATAATTGACAAACGTGCTACTGACAATGATAACCAATTATCTGTAATTTTGACAGCGATAGAAGATCCTCATGTAAGTCAAAAAAAGATTGCCGAAGTAGTAGGTATAAGTAGAACATCCGTTAGAAGGATTTTAAAACAGCATCAATATCATCCTTACAAAATACAATTGCATCAAGAGCTGAAAGACACCGATTTTGATAATAGAATGTTGTTTTGTAACTGGGCACAAACTAAACTGCAACAAAATCCATTTTTTTTTTGATAGAGTGCTGTTTTCTGATGAATCTACATTCCACAAGAACGGATTCGTTAATAGACATAATTTCCACTATTATTCCACGAAAAATCCTAACATCATCAGAACACATAGCCAAGAAAGATGGAGTGTAAATGTTTGGGGAGGTATAATTGGGGATCATGTTATTGGGCCGTATTTTTTTGAAGGCAACTTAAATGGTCTGATGTATTTAGATTTTTTAGCAAATCATCTTCCTACTTTACTTGAAAACATTTCCCTTGCTGTAAGACTAACAATGTGGTACCAACATGATGGGGCAGCAGCGCATTTTTTACGCGAAGTGGCAGATGAATTAGATGAAAAGTTTCCAAATAGATAGATTGGTAGAAATGGTCCAAAAAAAATGGCCAGCTCGATCACCTGACTTAACAAAACCCGATTATTTTTTGTGGGGTTATATTAAAAATCTAGTCTATCTTACGCCACCTACAACACCTGAAAATATGAAAGAAAGGATAGTGCAAGCTTTCCATTCCATTACACCTGATATGCTTAGAAACATTTCTCGATCATTCGCCCAACGAATAAATATATGCATTAGAGAAAATGGTAGACATTTTGAGCATCTTTTATAAAATGTAAATTTATGTTTTAGGATAAATTTCAAATAAATTTTATTATCGTAATTTTCTTCCTTTTGAATTTATTTTATAACGGCGACAGATAGGTATAGGAAAGTACATAGGGAAGTGGAATGGTATGAAATTCTCCTTCAGTTGATGAATAGAAATACAGGGTAATACATTTGAAAAAATTTAACAAATTTCCCTCGAAATTTTTGGAAAGTGAAATTAATTTGTGACCACCCTGTACAAAATAAAAAATTCAAACTTGGTCCAAAAAAATCTTTGGTCTATTGGATTTATACAATCGTAGTTTTTTAAATTCTAACATCAAATTCGAGAGAGCACTGCATATTTTAATAGGCGTCTGAAAATGTAATATTTTTTGGTAATTTTTTTTTTCTGCGAAAGGGGTGGGATGTTAGAAACAATATTTTGTGGGTATGTACTAGTGACCATAGAGTACCTAAAATTGTAAAAAAAGTTGGGTCATTTCATTTAAAAAAAAATTAAGTGATTTGCCTAATTTACTATTGGGCCACCCTGTACACAAGAAAACAATTTTGGGATATTTGGTATTGGCCACCATTGACAGGTATACATCAAATAAATCGTTAAGATTTGCATAGTAGGAGTTATAGAACTACGACAGAGGTTTGGCCAACCCTGTATACATATTTATATCTACATAACAAAACTAAATATAGTAAAGAGGTTTTCTTTACTGCATCTCTTAGGGTTCCAAGAGGGCTTAGGGCAGATGTTCTGCCTTTTCTGTGACTTCAGATGTTTAGAGTTTGAGTATAACGAGTCGACTCCTTACCAGGTGGTATTATTCGGCTATTTTGATTTTTATGCAAAGAGCGGTGAGTGTATTGTGTAAATGTTCTGTGTTGATTTTAATTTTGTCGATTTTCCCTGAAAAAGCTAGTCAAAAAACAGGGTTTTAACGTGTATGTTTGTTCGTTCAATTTTCGGTGAATTGTATACACTAAACTAAACCGGACGGTGATTGGCCGCCCGCAGAATCAGAGTCTATCAGTGGCATTCTACGATTCTACGCCCCGCCCACCATCGTTCAGTCTATACGAATAGGGTATTTTGTAATCTTAACATGCTAAGATTGTCCTGTTATTTTGCTTTCTTTTTGTCTTGTTTAGTGTCTGTATATTGAAAGTCCTTCGTGCAGCCATACATGTTTCCTATCCGCATTGTTTTTAGCTTTTATATTGAAAATGTCTTCCCCCTATTGATTAGGAAGACAATTTTTGTAAAATTTCTCGGACGTTTCTAGAATGTACTGCTTTATAGGAAGTATGTTTGTGTTTTCGTGTAAGTCCGTTATTCTGGTTGACCTTTCGCACCCCAGGATTAGCCTCAGACACCAGTTTTGGGTGACTTGAAGTTTCTTAAAGTGCATTTGAGCCATGGAACAAAAGACTGGGCATCCATACGTTAGGATGGGCCTAAGGATTTGTTTAGAGATTAGGGTTTTATTGTTTCTGGAAACTTTACTACTCCTGCTTAGCATAGGATACAGGATTTTAATCATTCCCTTAGTTATTGCAATACGATTCTTGATGTGGGCGTAGAACGTTAATCTCCTATCCAGGTGAAAACCTAAATAGTTGATTGTATTTTTCGGTTCTATCGTAGTGTTTTGGATTTTTAGTTTTCCAATTATTTTCCCTTTGCGTAGATGGGAAAGGAGTGTGTTCTCAGTTTTGTTTGGATTTATTTTCATTTTATTTTTATCCAGATAGGGGATCAACGTTCTGTTTATATAATTGTCCAATCTTCTTGTGGCTATTTCGACTGAATCTGAGGCTTTGAAAACACAGGTGTCGTCGACGTAAAGTGCCGTTTGTACACCATTAAGTCCCATGGGCATGTCATGGGTCATGATGGTGTACAAATGGGGAGACAATACTGAACCCTGGGGTACTCCAGCCTCCGCTATATATGGTCCTGTCCTAGTGTTATTGATTTTAATGTGAAAAGTTCTGTTCTGTAGGTACGACTGTATTGTTTTTATAATGAAAACGGGATAGTTATTCACAATCATTTTGTTTATCATCCCGTTGATCCAGACGGTGTCAAACGCCTTTTCAGTGTCAAGAGCCACGAGTACTGTTTGTTTGTGATCATTAAAGGTCTTTTTGGCGTGGTGAGCTATATTGAGTATGTGAGCAACTGTACTGTGGCCCTCCCTGAAACGAGCCTAGGCCACGAGCCGCCTCTGGTAATAATCATAAGATATAGTGTTCCAGCATAATATTTATATTTTGCCAAAAATATTTTTTTGTCTGAATAATCTATTATAATGAACCACTTACAGCTTCTGAAACAAATTCATAAAAAAAGTATTGTTACACTATCAGCAGTCATAAGTTACACAGTTTAAAAAATGTATCCATTTAGGCAAAACTATAAATGAATTAAAAAAAAAGTAATAGGTAATAAGTTTTTTTATTTCACCATGTCGGGTATAAGAAGTTTTAAAGAATAAGTTATTATTTAATATCATCGAGACAAAAACAAAATTACTATATTTAATAATATATGATCATTCTTTACCAGAGGTATATTTATTTTTTATTTAAATTATGAAAATAATGTTTATATCAACAAATTTATGTTCGTCATTTGTAACAATTTAGAAAGATAACTCTTGGATGATGATAAACAAAATATTTTATTGGTTGACATGGCATTTAGTCGGTGCTTAGCCGAAATAGCGAAAAACTAAAAAAATACAATTAATAAAAAAAGCTAATGAGCACAATTTAGTAATGACATCTTTATTCGTTGATTATATAAAATTTTGGTTGAAAATTTTGCAGTCGTAACAAAGTTATAAAATGCTTTGTTTCAAATGATACAAAAACTAGATTCAAGTTTACACTAAAATTATATCTAGGTACTTTTTTAGTTGCCTTTCCTTTTGTAAATGTGTTTTTTTAATTCGCTCATCCTAGTTTAAAAATAGAGTATAGTAACTGTCAAAGTTGATTTAATTTAAGATCTTAAATCGGCAGAATATTAATTTCCTTTTTGCAATAGGAATTTTTCTTAAAACTTCTGTTTTTAAAATATTAAAAATATACGTAGGTATTTTTAAAATTTACACGTGTGCGTTTAAGAAACGAAAAACAATGTGCAAACAAAAAAAATTGTAAGTAAAAATGTTATATGCTATTCTATTCATTCCTTGACTTCCTACTTCTTTCAAGTTATCCGAAAGAAATCCATTGCCGTGGAATGTACCTCGCCTCTCTCTGCCTGCGCCCACCTGCCTCATTCTGACTGTGACCCCCGATTGGTACCATCGTCACTTATCGCGGTTGCTCGGTACCATTGCATTCGCAACCAATGGTAGGTACTACCTACTGGTATTGTTGGTAGAGTAGTTACTACTCGTCGCGTTCGTATAACCTTTTTTCGTCAATTTCGGTACTTTTAAACGCAACGGTACTATCTAGTGATACTTCCGCAAAGTGTATAGTGCCAGGTAAACAACGTTTTATCAATGTGATAACAGAAAAAAATCGATAAGAGTGGCAAATAAAAAAATGTGATGAATGGATAGGGTACTACGGAGGCACGATGTTTGGTACTCTCGGGTTTTTAATGGAGATTGTTACGTTTCAGTGCACATTTACTTTCTAATACAAGATAGGTAGTAGCGTGTTACATTATCTTGTGGTTTAAATGCTTTTTATGAAGATTATTTGAAATCATTCTAAACCTACCCTTTAATTGATGTTTTATTACATACTTACTATTTTTTATAGCCTTTGATTTTACAGACTTTGAATAACATTGATAAAATGAAACATATATCAAAAATATAAAAAAATGTGTTGTCCATTGCAAAATCTTTTTGCCTAATTGGTCTAATAATCTTTGTTAATTATACGTTTTTAAAAACTTTATTGACAAAAATACTAAATTAGCAGATCCATGAAGTTAGCACCGCCAAATGCGATTTTTTATAAAACAAAGTTGGTATTCGTTTATCCACGATTTGTACACATTTGTCAAAAAAAAAATTCGTTTGTCCACTAATAAAAAAAATATGACAAAATTTAAGATTTTAGCCAAATTTAATAACACCACTGGCATGAAACTTTTTATTTATTTCAAAGTTGCATTCTATTGTCCATGATTTTTTTACTTTTGTCCAACCAAAAGTCTTGTTTGTCCACCCCTCAAAACAGAGATAATAATTTTTTTTTTAAATAATACGCCTAGTCCTTAGGAACAACCTTAATACATTTTATTCGATATAAACATGGTAATCGTTGGTCCACGTATATTTTTATTTGTTCATTCCTTATTTTCGTGTGTATTTACAAAAGAAATTAATTATTAACAAATAAAGAACTCAAAATATAAACAATTATCAATACCTATAAGTACTTCTTATTATGGTTGGAGAAAACCTAAGAATTAAAATATATTTAAGTAGGTTTTTAGGTTATTTGGGTTTTTAAGGTTGTATAAGGTTTTATGAGGTTTTATAGGGGTTTTAAAGTTCTTAGTTCATATAAGTCAAAAGTTATTATTAACAAAGTTAAATAAAAAATACAAGCAAAACTTGAAAAATAGGAATTTATTATATTAAAAAATACCATTCCCATTTTTTAGCCGTGTGACAAGTGGCCGGAAACTTAACTTTCTTTCTAAGACAGTCATTCTGAAACATTTCTTCTTTTGTCCTTATAACACGACTCCTACAATCAACAATGCATACTTTAAATATGGCTTCATCATTCCAAATAATGGAGTTCTCTTGGTGCGGAGACCATAACTGATGTTCCTTTGCCCACGCTAGTCTATTTTTCTTCTGAATCTTTGTTAGTGAGGGCTTCTCTTTTGCCTATGAAATATTGAATTAAAAACAAACAAAAGCAAAAAATAATTCAAGCATTCCTTGTAGGTTTTAAATCTCAGTTTTTTGGCAGCTCTTTGATAAATTGCTTGGAAAATGTTTTTCCCGTTGCCTGATTTCATAATATTTTCAATTTGTTATAATTAGCACGGCGATTTTATTTGATAATCCTTTTTAAACCTCTTAAGTTGGCATTGGAATATTGCGGATAATTTTCAGTTCTCGGTTTTTGAGCCACATATCCAGTTGCTTTGTACAGTTTATTAATATTTTGAACTGTATATCTCGATTTAATAACACTGTCAGCGATTTTGGAAGAATTTTGGCCCTTCAAATGCAAGTGAATTATCATTTTGCTTATTTCGTCAGAAACAGCTTTACCACGAGCCATTTTAAGTTGTTAACAATAACACCAGTGTACGAAAGTTGATTAAAACGTCAAAATCGGCTTCTTAGCAACGTCAAATATTATCATTTGTTTTACAAAGTCTGCCTTGTTTTTATTGAAGCCGATAAACCGACTATTCAACTTAAGTTGTCTCCAAGTCTCCATTATGTATTTTATCAAACACAAATCATTTTACAAATAAAACAATTTCGAAATAAAAACTCTTTAAAAATAGCCACGCTGATCTTATTATATTTTCACAAACATTTAAACGAACCAAAAATATTATATTTTAAACAAAATTTTAATTTGCCCTGAGATAAATTTACAAATATCATGTTTTGTGGTTTTGGGCCAACTTCACTGAGACAGGGCATAGTATATTTTTTATATATCCCTGTTATAAACTGTAATAGTCTTTTGAGATGCTAGTAATAGTAATAATAGTTCAACATCTAATACATATTTGACATATTTATGTTTATGACACCGTGCTAAGTTTAGTAACTCAATTTTTAAAATTTGTTCATTGAATTTAATATTTTTCTTAGTAAGCCAATCTGCAATCTGGGCTTTTTTCCATTTGGTAGTTGGTAACTATTCTACATGCCGGCTGTATTATGGAGCGTTATCCATAACAATAACAGATCCTAAATCGATTTTTAAAAGAATATCTGAAAACCATTTTTCATAATGTTCTGCATCCATTTCCTCATGATAATCTCTAGTCTTGGGTTTAAATGGGTTTAAACCTTCTTCAACAAATCCTGAGTCTCTACCAATATGGGTAATAATAAGGCGTTTTCCCATTCGAAATGGGGCTTTTAAACCTGCCAAAAAACCATCTACAAAAGCTTGATGTTTGTTTTTACATTTAAATCCTGCCAAATTTTTGTTACAGTATGTCCTTCATTTAACCAGGTTTCATCTGTATAATATATTTTTCTGTCATCTCCTCGAAACTCTGCAATTGTTTTTAGATATTTTCTGCGCCATAAAATGATTTTCTATTTTTCAATAAGGGTACTATTACTCTTTCTCTTTAAATACATGAAGTTCATTTCACGCAAAGTACGCAATAAAGTACGTCTTGATATTTTTGGGAAATTTTCATTAAATTGAAGAGAGGAAGCAATTTTCCTTACAGATAGTAATTTCTTTTTAATATAAAATGCATGTATACTGCACGATGAATGACTTGTTTGGTTATATCTTCCAATTTTATTTTTTTTCTTTCTCTAGTCTCAGCCTTCGAAGTATTAATATCGTTTGGACCCCTAAGCGTAAGGTGTCCATGTTATTTCCTAATAAAAATAAAAAAACAAAAAACAAATAAAAAGAAAAAAAACACAAAACAAAACAAAAAAAACCATCAGAAAACAAAAAACACCAAATGTTTTAAAATAAGATTAAAACAAAAGAATAAAAAAAATCTATAAAATATTAAGAAACATTTTTGTATACGTATATTAATAGTATTAAAAAAACAATTGTAAAATACTTTATATGATTCTCTCATGTTAACTTAGTATCAATAAAACAGAAATATATAATAGGCTAATGAATTATATCCGCCGTCATAAAATCGTTTGTTTCATTCCTTGTTTATAAACGTAGCCTTTCACTCATATTAAAAAGATAAGGTTATACTTAAACTCTCTATTACAAATAATTCCGGTCTCTGCTTTATGAAATCCCTATCAGCGCGACTATGACACTGCTTAGACAATAACATCCAAGAAAATGTAAAAGGCGTTGTTGCCAATAACGTCGCTTTAATCTGCGACGACAGTGTGGATCTCGGACATTATCTACCGTTAGATAAAGACAACTTTTTATTTTACCTCAAACTTTTAATCCCTTGGAAGACGTTGGAACAGTTAAAATAGACCAGTCAAATTATTTTAATTATTTCAACAAAATGATATCTGTTCTGGAGGTAAATAATAAACAAATGAATTAGTTATTCAAAAAATTTTTAAAGATAGCGATCTTCTTAATTTTGAACGTATAGTCTTTGAAGAGTGGGTAGAAGAAAAAGGTTTTAGTAGAGGAAAAAGAAGATTTTGTAAATTTGTAAAAGATTTAATAAATTCTGCAATACCCCACTAATTTGTTTATTAATTAATACTGAATATTTTCCTTTTGTCGGTATTTAAAAAATCAACAACTATTAAAAATAACTATTTTTGTACAGGGTGAACGTCTAATTTGATTAGCCTATAAAACATGACTCACTATCTACAATTTTGGTATTCTAGTAGACTACAGCTTTGTTGAAATGCTGCAACAACTTGATTTTTCGGCACATTATGGTATTTGTTGGAGAATTTCCATTTGGTTAAATTTTTTGTAACCTTATTTGTTATTGTCGTGAAGTAAAAATACTTCTATTTTAAAAAGTGTGGCTTATCATCACGTTTCTCAATAATCCCTTCAATTATTAAATTTTAGCTTACAATAATTTGTACTCTCCATTTTTTGCGTTTAGATCTTAGACTAAAAGTATAAACCATATAAAAATTAGGGCTGATATATTTTACCTCTCTTAAGCTGGCAGGACCAACTGGACAGAATCGATTAAGATCTATTACATTATTACCAATTTTGTACTAATTTGTGCCACCAATAAAAATTTTGTACTATGTGCCGTTTTCAAAAAAAACATGGCGCTGCCTGGTTAGTAGTTAGCTAGCAGGACCACATAAAAAAAATAAATAAAACAAAGGTAGAATTAAAAAGTCATGAATTTGTACCACCAATTAATTTTTTGTACTATGTACCGTTTACAAAAAAACACATGGGGCTTCTAGCAGGACCATATTGAAAAATACAAATAAGGAATTAAAAAGAACTGAATTTGTACCAATTTGTACCATTAAAAAACACCTAATCTGTTTATTCAAACACTGCCTGAAGCAACTTTAAATTAAATCCAAATCTGTTATACTTAAGAAAAAGGTGACTTTTTGCATAAACAGAATCTATTGTCATTTTTGCATAAAAAACAACATAATTTGTACCGTTAAAACATACATTTTCAGAATTTGTATTTCTGCCCTTCCTATAGAAACTATCCTAAATCCATATTAGGCTTAAGCGTAAAATATCCTTTTGCACGAGCAGAATCAATAGTTACTCCTGCAATAAAACTAAGATAATTTGTACCGTAAAAATATAAATTTTCAGATTTTGTACCCCTGCCGTTCCTATAGAAACTATCCAAAATTCATATTAAGCTTAAGACTAAAGTAAACAAATTATATTACTTTTATTGCAGAAGTAACTGTGATGCTCGCGTCTCGTTTGGCGAGCACACAAAAAACATCCAAATGATTTTTATGACATTTCAGTTGCTCTTTCATGTGTGACGTTTTGAGTCACTATTTTTATTTTTTTGGTTATATGCAGTGTTTTTAGAGTGACAACCATCTGATCTCTTCTTTTTCAATAACGTCGCTGTTTTTGAATTGTCAATAAGTGAGAGAGATTTTGTTGACCGGAGGAGGTTAGGGCGATTTCAATTACGTCCGGTAACCGCCTCCTCCATAATTTAATCAATAATTTTTCATCAACTATTTTGTCACCTGTTATTTGCATAAGTTCCCTATAAAATGTGGAAGGCTTTTTGTCGCCCAATTCTGAGCTAGACAGTAATTTGTTCAAACGCACTTCCTCCGATAGCGTTAATCTACTGAGAATTGTGTCCTTTAGAAAATCATATAAATTATTTACTGGAGGTTTACTAATTACGTCATTAACCTCGCTGAAAATATCTGGCGGTTAGTGCGCCACAATGACATGATACTTGCTCTTATCAGATTTGACATTGTAAATGAAAAATTGACTTTCGGGCCAGTTTTTCAATGAAAGTTTAAACTGAGTTCAGCAAATGAACTGAGTTTAATTGAAAGATGATGTATTTCAAATGTAGTTTACGTCTGAACTTAATTTAAACTATCCAAAAAATTGAACTGCCAAAGTTGGGCGTTTAAACTAAGATCAACGTTTTGACACTGACATAATATAAGTATATTTTACAATTTTTTGTACATTTTATGTTCGAAGTAATAAGTGAAGACGATGATCAAATTGTTACCTATTTAATGCATATTAATGTACCATGTACCCAAAAGAATATGCAAGATTTCGTTTGTCTAATACAACGGCTAACAGAACAATTATCAAAACAGAAGGAGGATTTATAGATAATAACATTTATAATAACATATATTTTATTTTCTAGAAATAATGCTTAACTCCTGTCATGGTTCTGTTAACTTTACGATTTTTTGCATCGATATCTTTCTTAATTACCACCACCAAGTAGAGTACATACGTTCAGCAATTAAGATTTACTAACAATTCTTCTTCATTGATCGATCAATTTTTTCCATTTCATACATTTTTTCATCTTCACTGGTAGTTTTTAAAAACGCCAAACTGAAATAGATCATTCAGTTCTGTCAGAAGTTCCTTGATTCAGAACTACCAATATAAATTAAACTTAGATCACCTAAACTGTGATACTGACATGATTGAAAAACGCTATTGATGGTAATCTCAGTTCTATATTTGATCCAAGTTCAGGTGAACGAAATTTTAAACTTTGATTGAAAAACTGGCCCTAACTGTTTGAACCAGAGTTCTGGTTTGGATGACCAGAAAGCTGGAAGTCTGATATTTTTCAGGTTTTCTAATGAGTCAATTCCCTCAGTAGTGTAGGTATTTGGTTCTGACATTATAAAAATAACAATTTAGGCAATGAACGAAAAAGAAAAAGTGATCAAATGCAATGTTTTTAAAAAGGCACAATCAGATGGCTCACCTATCTGATTCTTTTTCAAAAACTTCACTTGATTATCCGTTGAACTTCTTTCTTTCTCGACGCTGCTATGCTGAACCGACATGCAGCTGAGGACGTGGTTTCTGCTTGGGGAGTTTTCTACTTGTGAATTTCTGTCTGGGAATTTTCTGTCTGCGAATGTTCTGTCGGGGTCACCAAAATTTAGTGGACCCCTGTTGGTGAACCACTAAATTGTTCGAATAACTGGAAACGAAATTAATTTTGAAAAGGTTTATTTCTGAATATATAAAAAAAATAAACAATAAATATGGTGCATGGAGTTTTGGTTGATAAGTGAATGATTTGACGTGGAAAATTTTTGGTTGTTTATCTTGGTCTCTCGCCAGCATAGCAACCGCGGTCCTTTGTACATGGTACAAAATGTTTAATGGTAGTACAAATTAGTACAAAATAGGTACTAGAATGAAATAGATCTTAATCGATTCTGTCCCGTTGGTCCTGCCAGCTTAAAAGAGGTATATATTTTTAGGAACGAGTACTAAGCATTTAAACCTCAAACCGCGCCTCCAGAGTACACCTCTCCATTCATTCACGCCCTCGCTAAACATCTTTCTTACTCTTACTCATCAGGCAGCCCCTGGCATGTCAACATCATGTCGAACAACGCCGCCCTGTCAGTATTGGGCGAGGCGACGCGCCTCGTCCCGGCCAACACACCCGCCGTCTTCGAAATAATAACCGCCTCCTCGACGCCGCCAACGGATCTCAGAGTGCACGTAGTAGCGCCCTCTAAAAGGGTCGTACCCTCGCGGGTTTTGCCCGGAACGCGCCTCGGCGTGCACAGCGTCGAATTTGTGCCGAGCGAGATTGGTACGCATATTGTGGACGTGTCCGTTGATGGTGAGAAACTGCCCTCTGGGCCGCTAGTCGCGAAAGTGTACGACGCTGGTTTAATACAAGTAGCGGATGTTGGAGGAGGGGTTGTTGGACAACCTGTGCAGTTTAGAGGTAAGTACACGTTTTTTCTTTATACAGTTATACTTTATCTTCTAAAAAACTTATTATTGGAATGATCTTTTTGTTTAATTAACGATATTTTGGAATATTTGATATGAAAATGTAAGTGTAGCGCCACTGCACTTCATTGTCTATATTTCTAAAGTCAAGGTTTATAATATTAATATTTTAAGATCCTAATAATAGCCTAAAAATGTGTTTAGTTTCTTAAAAAACAAGGTGCTTCTGGCTTCGTTCAATGCCAGAATTTTTTTCGGCATTTTTTATGTATTTCAAGATCCTAAAAGTAGCCTAAAATGTGAGATGGTTGTTTTTAGAGAAACAAAAAATAATTTAAAAACTGTGGGCCCTTGCTGGGTTCGCTTAAAGCCAGTACTACCCCGTATTTCCTAAAAATAGCAAATTTTTGCTAAAGTTTTATAATATTTCAAGACCCCAAAAATATCCTAAAAATGTGACATACCTAGTTTAAATAAAAAACTTACGAGGTGCATTACTGGCTTCGTTTTGATAAAGCACCCTATATTATTTAAAAAATGCAAAAGTTTTATAATATTTTAATAGGAATGTGATTTAGTTGTTTTTCGAAAGAATACAAAAAAAATCCGCAGCAGCGCACCTTGATTTTTGTAAAAAACGAGGAGCATAACATTTTTGAATAGGGTCTAGAAATAGCCTTAACGTAGCCTAACAAGTATTAAAAGTAATTTTAAAAAACCGACTTCAAAATCGTGCAGATGCCATCACCATATCTTAACCAAATTTATATGGGACCACTCCTGGGACACCCCCTTACTAAAAAAAACAATCATAGAAATCGAACAAGGTGGTACAGAATTATCTCTAAACATACATGAAAGATTAAGAATTTGAGGATTTTCTCATGGACCCAATTATTAGATTTTGATCAAATTTATATGGGACCACCCCTGAGGTACCCACTTTCTAACAAAAAAAAGACACTCATAGAAATCGGACAACGTAGTAAAGAATTTTCGCTGAACATTAGGTTGGAGTGAAACACGAAGAAAATAATTTTTATTTTATTTTCGTAACGCAATAGTGTGGAAAAGTTGCTAAATGTAAGAATGATTAACGAACTATTCTTATTGTATTTTTAAATTGTCATGTTCAGGGGTCTACACCTACTTGAATTTTCCTATTTTCCCGAATAATCTAATAAACAATTTAAATATGTTTTGTTTATAAACGAAAGCGTGTACAACTTAACAATATAACATAGACGAGCAAAAAAAAAAATAGGTATATAAAATTCATGCATTGTATTTCGTCTTAGTGTTAAATCGAGGTAGTGTGGTTCTAGTCTAGAATGAATTCTTGCACGAATAAATCCATCTCCAGAGTCATGGCCGACAATAGAATTTGAAGCTTCTGTTACAACCTTCACACACCTCTCTACTGCCTGTGTATGGCAAGGAAAGGACAAAACGTCTACAGGACAAGTTCCTGTATCGTTTATAAATTATCTGATATATCTATCAGTTGCAGAACTTAAAAGAGGTGGTGCTGTAACTGAGCAATTTTGCCAATCAATAAGCTCATAATATTCACTGGCATCGAAATCTAATTCAGGAATAACAAATTCTCTTACGTCTGTAGATATTTTTGTGCGCACTTTCAATATTTTTCATAAGCCAAGTTGTCTTATATCAGGACGATCATCAGAAAGCATTGCTAGAAGAAGGTTCTCCATATGACAAAAATATGCATTTCGTTTGACAACAGGGTCGATGACTGCCTTTAATTCGTTGTTAGAGTAGCGTGACAACTGTATTATTCTGAAGACGTGTCTTCCTCCATCAGTACATGGTGGTTTTCTTTTAATGTCAAACCACACTGCGCATAAACTTTTACCACAAATTCAGCGATTGTTCTTAAAATTGTAGACGGACATTTACTTCTGATGTAAAGACGCACTTGTAATTACTTAATAAATCAAATATTTTAGAGACTGAATTAATACCGTTTTTATTATCAGTTGTTACAACAAGTGCTTTTTAAAACAAAAAATATATACAGTATGTACCAAATTTATGGAGGTATTTCGTTACAATAAAACCAACACCTCCTCTTAACGAAGTGCCTCTTGCAGATATTAAACGACAACGTTCATCTGACTTCTACACCAAGCATGCTTCTTCGAGCACACTGCCTTGGTTGAGGAATCTGCTGCCATTTCTTCAGTGGATATTTTCATAGACGCAATATACGGTTTGCGTTTGTAAGCCATTGTTCGTGGATTACGAGCTGCTAGATCTAATGAACAGTTTCCTCTAGAAATTGAGTGACATATTTCACATAAAGTACTTTTGATCAGTGCTAAGATTCCTAATTGCTGCAGCGTCTCATTTTGGTAAAGGGCTAACAATAGGAACAACATTTACAACGGGCAATTTTCTGCAAGACTACAACATTTTTCCTATTGCTCCGGAGTATACACGAGGTCCTGAAGTTTATCCTTCAAGATATTAAAAAATATGACGAAGAAGCAATTAATTCATATGTAGCTGACATATCATCCACTGCAAAGGATGTTTCAGTTTTGTTTCTAAATGCTGCAAAACTCCATTCTTCCTTCCTGTATTAACCGCTTTATCATCGCAGCCTACTACTAAAAGCTTATTTGTACTAACGTCAAATTCTTGTAGAAAATTAACTGTAGATATAGCAATATGTTTCCCTGTACCTGTTGTTGGTGTAATGTGACCCATATATTTTGAACCTTGTTCTTCCAGCAATGATACATGTTCTTTGAATATATTTGCAGCCATAGATAATATCTGCAACACTTCCCCTAAAGAAAAACAAAAATATAAAATAACTTTACAACAATGCAACATCTTCTCAAATCATCCCGATATTTCTAAGTCACCTCTCGTGTTTTATTAATGGTAGACCTTTTGTCATAACATCAGCGGGCATGTATTTAATAATAAATTCTTCATTAGAAATACAGGTACGTACATCGATGTGTTTTGTGCGATTGTAATTAGTAGCATTAGCAAACAACTTTGGTTATCATTGTATACCGTTACTACTCCATCTTCTGTACCAAGTTCTTTCAATAAATTTTTCAAGAAAATACATCCTTGACCCCTTCTGAAAGAGCAACATATTGTAGTTCTGTGCTCGATAGAGATACACATCGCTGTTTTCTGCTACTCCATGAAATTGGTCCATTACCATAATTAAAAATAAATCCAGTGTAAGAATGTCTAAGTCGCTTCCACCCCAGTCTGCATTAACGAACGTAGTAAGAGCTTTTCTTGATGGTTTGTAAACTTTTATTTAGGGTTCCTCTCAAATAACGAAGTATTCTTTTTCCATGTTGCCACAATTTTATGGTATAATTGGTATTAAATTGGCTAAGTAGACTAACGGCGAAAGAAAGGTCTGAGCTTGTACATGTAGACAAGTACATTAAAGCATCCTTTAAGCTTTGGTAGGGTACATCAGGTAATTCACCATTTTTATTTCCACCTATGAGTTTCTGTTTCGTTTCTATTTGTGTACGAGCTACTTTAGTATCTTGCAAACGAAATTTCTCAAATAGATCTAATATATATTTTCTCTGGTTTAACCTAATCGCTTCCCCTTGCTTGATTATTTCTATGCCTAAGCAACATTTAATGTTACCTAAATCCTCCATTTTAAAACTAGCAGTGAACGTTTTCTTCCAAATTGTTATACAAAATTACCAAATCATCAACGTACACGGCTATAATCATTATAGTACCATTTTGCAGATTATGATATATACAGGGTTCAAATTGTGATTGTTTGTAGCCTATGTCTAATAAATTTTCATGAATTTTGCAGTTCCAATAACTAGCAACTTATTTTAGACCATATAAGGATTTCTGCAGTAAACATACCTTTTTGGAGTTTTCTTCATCAACAAAATTTTCTGGTTGACTCATATATACTATTTCTTTAAGAGCGCCATCAAGAAATGCTGTTTTAACATCCATGTGATCTATTTTAAGATAATATCCAGCAACTATACCAATTAGTAGTCTTAAGCTTTCCTTTCGCACTACAGGAACGAAGGTTTCATCGTAGTCGATTCCGTAGATTTGTTTGTATCCTTTAGCAACTAATCGGGCTCTGTATCTAGTCACATTACTAATAGCATCAAGTTTTACTCATACACACTTGCAAGGTATACCACAACCATTTTCCAGGTTTCATTGCTAAATAAAGTCTTTCTGTTTAGAAAATGTTTCTAGCTCTGATGACTTTATTGTTTTTCATTAATAATTTGTAGCAATTATTATTTGTCGAGTCTTCACAGTATCCAATAAAAGTATGTTCAACACTCTTAGCAACCCACTTTTTCTTTTTTGACGTGGAACCTGTACCATGGCTTTACAACCACATACACGCAGTGGTGTTACAGGCTTTTGCCCACAATGATTTATCGCACTTACTGTCCATCATCATAGATCTCGCAATTTCACAAATAGAATTGTTAGCTCTTTTAGCTATAGAATTCTGCTGAGGAGAATAAGGCATCGACATTTCAATCTTAATACCACTAGAAGTCAAGTATTCTTTCAGTTTTTGGTTATTTTTTAAATAAAAACGGTGTTTTTGACGAGCTCTTCGGACCTTACTTCGGTCAATAACTGAAGACGATGTTTCTTTCGAAATAATTCCCAAATCCTGTAATACAGCAGATGTAAGTGCTTTTGCAGAACGGTCCGAAATACCAAATAAGTTAGAAATACGAGCTAGGTTGGGAATATTTTTTTTTGCTTTTTAAAATTTTTAATTGGAGGTAGAACCCTGAAGACATTTTTTTTTTAATTGAAATTTTAGAAAATATATGTAGAGGCAACTTTTCTCAGGTATTATATAATATTATTTTTTTTTCGCTCGACCCTACTGAACATAAAAAAAAATTCTCACAAATTGAGAATCTCCTCTTTTTGTGAAGTCTGTTAAAAAACGGCCTAATAAATAGTTAA